ACATTTATAGATATAATAATAATTTAAATTAAATATCTATAAATTAAATTAAATGAAAAATTTATATATTAAAAAAATATTTTTTGTATGATAAATTTATATATTATAAAGTAATTTTTGTAGATTTTATTTTATAGGACAATCAAATAAAAGACTATATTAAATTTCAATAATTAGAAAATGAACGAATATATAATTTTATATTTTAAAATTGACCCTCTAAATTCATAAAAACCGAAAGATAATGCTACAATGATTAATTAAAAAATTTTATATTATTTGTTCATAAGGTTGGGAAGGGACACCATAAACGACTGTGCTCAGCAACAGATTTTTTTCGTCCCACTTACCTTAAACGACGACTGTTTCAGACAAACGGTGCCGGTTGGTGGTGCCGCCTTTACCGATCTCAAAAACTACGTTTTATCCATCATTCTCTTCAAAACCAAATTCCTCCTTCCTCTTTATTCACAAACCCTAATTCAGAAGACAGAAGGTCGCTTTCTTCACCATCATTAGCGCGTAAGTTTCAATTCAATTCAATTCTCCTTTTGCGATCTTCTACCGCTTTCCTTTTTCTGCATATCGCATGATGGGTGGGATTTTGTAGTTTTCCATTTCTCATCATGATGAACTTAAAAGACTCGTCTCCCGTCGACCCCGCATCGCCCCCCGGTCCTATGCCTTTATTCATGTTGAGGTTTGCAGCAATTGCGGTGTAGATTTAGTATTTTGTATATGAATATGTTGTTGAAGTAATCTGGCGTGCTGGTATAAGGGGTCGAGATATTGGTTAAGATTCATATTTGGTAAGAATTATGTTGATGCTGGTGTTGGCATAAAGGGGGGGGGGGGATTTTGAGGCTATGAGTGCTACGCCTTCATAAGTTTGATTAAGTCTTATTTTTGTCATATATATGTTGGATGTGAGATTTGAACACCTCCTTCACTCATCCATCAGGATTGGACATTTGTAATGTGGAGATTCTTTGACTGAAATATTAATGAGGGATCAAGTTATTTAAAGTGTAAGTCTATGAGAGTTACTTATTTTCATTTTCTCTTAATTTAATAGTTAAATGTGAATTATTTATTATACCATTGTATTATAAAAATAAAGGGTTAGAATGAGGGTAGAAGCAATGATTTTTTAAGCAGTTAGAAAGTAAGAAACTTACTGTGTAAGTTTCTATTCCTTCTTTAAACGAACAAACCGTCTATTTCAAATCTACATTTTGCGTTTCTCCTTCTCTATTTAAATTTTTATTCAGATGAATCTAACATAAAGGATGTCTTTTTCAATGATGGTAATATGCAAGGGGGTTAAATATCTTAAATGAATTAGATCCTCTTTTCACTTTTTGGATTTTAGATGGAAGGATTAGATCCATTTATGTATCAGAAAATAATGTGTGCAGATTGTTATATTTGACTAACTTTTTAATAGATGATTTTGAATATTCTCTTGATTGTCAATTTAACTAATTCATAATAATGGTCAGTGTGTGTATTTGTGCTGCTGTATCCTATATTTTGGAACTTATTGATGTCTCTTTCTGAGTCTGTATCCATGCTTCGGAAGTTCTCAGTTTATATAGAACAATGTTGTTGACACGTGTTCTGATCCTCATCATGACATTAACTGATCATATAGTTTCCTATTTTTATTAGGAAAACCTTTTTCCATTTTCAAATTTGTTATGGAACTTTTAGCTGGGGCAAAGCTGCAATGGTTAGTGTTTGACATAAAGCAGAAGGGTTCTATAGTTTAGCTCATAATGAGTGATCCATTATGTTTTCTTGCACTTGAACGAGACTTGGTTCATTTGTAGAGGTAACTTTGACTGATCAGTCTCTTCCTCTTTTGTAAGAAGGCTGACATAACTTATTGGGGAAGGATGGAGTAACTTCATGAAGCACCGTGTAAAAAGTACCTAGATTTACTTTCACTGCTGTTTATTAAAGTCAAAGTGATCAATGGCTGTAATAAAGTAGAATACCATTGTGACTTAATCTGTCTGTATCTTTATTATCATGATATTCTTGCACTATCGTATGGTTGTCGTAGCTTGTTCTTGAGGCACCAGAGGAGTTAGTAGGATGTGGAATGTTAAATTATCATAAGTGGGGGTCATTGTGTCATAGCTACTTATATGAATCTGTGTTTTAGGAATTTCTCTAGCCTGACAAAATTTATCTCACGTTAATCGTGAAGACTGGAAAATTATTTATAAAGTCAAACACTAGAAGATTTCTCAACTTACAGAATTATTGATTTTACATAATTTTTTAGTTCTTGTATTATTTATTCTGCATTCAATGTAAAATCTGTTAGATAGGAAGATATGACTTCTATAGATTATTTATTCTATAAAATGAGAAATGACCTTACCTTGGTTCTGAGTTTGGTTTTCTTCCTTTTGCATCTTATTTTCAGGAAAATGGCATCTTCTTCAGACTCTTGGATGAAGGAATATAATGAAGCTGTAAAACTTGCTGATGATATCACTGGTATGATTGCTGAACGGAGTTCGTTTCCTGCATCTGGACCCGAAACCCAGCGGCATGGATCTGCTATAAGAAGGAAGATTACGATATTAGGGACCAGGCTTGATAGCTTGCAATCTCTTTTGTCAAAGGTCCCTGCGAAGTGAGTGTTTAGTTATTTCCTATATACTGATCGGGAAAAGTTCAATGGTATTATGGCAGAGCATAGTGACCTGGAACACTATTGGGTTGTAGTCATGTGATACTGTGTATTTTTGAAATAAATTTTTTGTGAAACCTTATGATCTTGACTATATCTTTTATGTTAAATTGCATGCTTGTTATTGAAGTGTTTCCTTGTCAATAATGCACAGAACTGAGAAGGAGATGAATCGTCGCAAGGATATGCTTGGAAACTTGAGGACCAAAGTTAACCAAATGGCTTCAACATTAAACATGTCAAGCTTTGCAAATAGGGATAGTTTGCTTGGGCCAGAAATAAAATCAGATGCAATGAGCAGAACTGTTGGCCTGGACAACAGTGGACTAGTTGGTCTTCAACGGCAAATTATGAAAGGTCACTTTGAATTGTTTGAAAATTTAAAATATCAATTGTAGTCTGCTTTCTTTTTTTTATATTAATTTGCAAATGTGTTATTCAAGCAGAACAAGACGATGGCCTTGAGAAATTGGAGGAGACTGTAATCAGTACTAAACATATTGCGTTGGCAGTGAATGAAGAGCTGGATCTACACACCAGACTCATTGTATGTTCCCCCACGTGTTATTTTTCTTTGCTCCTTTTACAGTCCATGTCCTATCAGTTCTGAAATCTAATCATTTCTCTTCTTTTGCTAGGATGACTTAGACGAACATGTAGATGTTACAGATTCCCGGCTGAGGGTAACACTCTCACTATAACTTCTATATTTGGAATCATAACTTGTTTTTAAGCGTAAGAAAGTTGAATTTATGGCATGGTTTCACAACATGCACGATTTGGTGGAATCATGTGATATTCTCTTCAACTATGTCCTTATTTTTTTGTCTATAAATTCCTTCATTCTGATAGGTATATTGTCTTTAAATTGTTATTTTGAAAGTGAATCAATTTAACCTCCTTTCAAATACACGACACAGGCACACATTATTTGGTCAGTCTTTTTTGTGGTAGTGGTTTAGCTATAAAATCATACTTATTTGGGATAAATATACTTTCATCATTATACACTGTCAAGTATAGATTTGTGGGGATTTCTTCTCATAGTGTTACGTTTTTATCAGGATATAAATGTTTTTGTATAACAATATTTAGTAAATTTTCTTCAAATATATTTGCATTTCCTTTACCTATGATGAACACTTTAATTTGAAAGTTTCAAATTAATATTTGACACGTGGCATAGAAAGCAAAAGTATGTGAAAAATAAACGAATGATATTCACATATGTTAATATACGTATTTCTGGTGCATTTATTTAAAAAGTAGTTACTTGTTAACTTTCCCACATGATTTAGCTCTTGATATGAGATATTGTAGAAATGAAGTAGCTTGCAACTGACCTTCCGAGTTTATGATGTGTAAACAGCGAGTGCAAAAGAACTTGGCAGTTTTGAACAAACGTACCAAGGGTGGTTGTTCCTGCTTGTGCATGCTTCTATCAGTGATCGGTATAGTGGTTTTGGTTGTTGTCATATGGCTGTTGATCAAATATTTGTAAAGATAAAAATACCCAACTCGTGAACTTTCTCTCTTTTTTATGTTTCTAAATGTGTGCATTGAAACATGGCAACGTGTTTCTTTTCTTTTTTTTCACTCGGTGTTTTGGCAATGACAGGAATTTACTAAGGTGTTGAAAGGTTTTATTTTGTAATTCTCAGTTTTAAAGTTTTGCCTTTGAGTGTTTCTGTTGTAAAAATCATTATATCGAAAGTGACTTCCTTTAATGACTTAAGCCAATTTGAGCTTTTTGGAGCATTTTGAATATTTGTCATGCGTCTTAGTTCCTATCTAATTACTTTAATCCAAATAATATTTCATCAAATGACAATTAAAAATCACCACTAACGTTACTTAGTTTTCCTCAATTATTTCCGAACACACAGGTATCATGGAAGTTTTGCCATTGTTTTTTCTCTTTACTGAATTATTTTTGTTAAACAGAATTAATTAAGGAAAAAAAAAGAAAAGACGGTATCATGCAGTTATTTTAGTAAGAAATTCTGTGTCAAACACAAAATACCACAATCAATACAACTCAAACAACCACAAGATTTTCAAATGTATTACATGAGTAGCTAAAGAAATCCTAATCAACAATCTCTAACGCCCTAGCCATCACATCTTTCATTTCGCATATCAACTTTTTGTAATGATTAAGGAAGGCTTCAATCTCCTTGGATGGGCTAAAGATTGGCATCATAGACTCGATTTCTGCTAGCATCCTTGGGACGTCTTAAATAGCTCTGTTTGTTAGGGTCGCCAAGTGTGAGAAATGTTTCTTCCAGTTCTTCAAAATTTTCCCCTGTTCGATTCTTTAATCAGCTATCCAAACAATCAGCTCTTGGCATCTTTTATCCGACTCAGAGTCGGTGCTCTTTGATTAGTTGTTTCATTGTCTCTTTCTCTCGTTGTTCGAATTCGTCAATTTCTGATTTGCATGTTAAGCAACTTCTCCAATGTCTCTTGCTTATCTCTCTTTTAAGCTCATCACACTAGTGTTTCACATGGCTCTAAGATGACACAATTATATCATTGTCCAAGGATTTCAAGGCCAGTTTTGTGTTAGTTGCAACAAGGTTCTGGTTAATTTTGATGTTGTAGTCCTTTTTCTTCCTTTTGCTTTCTTAGCAGCTCCCTACACACTCCCCTGTTTCTTTCATTGTCCCATTTGAGGTCCACCTATTCATGCTGCAGACTCTGAAGGTCGTTAGCCAACTCAGTATTCTTCTGTTTCAACCTCTCCACTTCCCCTTTCAGAAGTTTCACCTCCTCAGTTTCAGTGTCTTGTGATGGCTCTTCACAACTCAAGTGAAAGGGAACTAACTTGAATGGCAATTTAACCTCTCTAACTCCCTATCCTATCCATTGGCGGTACATCTACTGTCCATGGTTTTGGGTCCCTCTTAGCACAAACCACCTAATTATGACCAAGCACATTAAAAAATAGTCGAGGTCATATGTGAAAGATGAATTTAGACTCTTTTTTGGACTATCTTGAACTATTATGGAGCTTCTAGCAGAATAGGAATAATTTGAGTCTTGTATTTTGGATCAAGTAGTCTAGAATTGATTTGAACTTTGTATTATGGACCAAATAGTATAAGATATATTTTTTAGTCTTATATTATATGTCAAGTAATGTAGGGTTTTTGGACCACTTAGTCAAACAAAGATTAAGGTCTAATATTGACCCAAAGTGGATGTCTATGAGCTTAGGTTGAACATGGGATCAAAAGTTTTAACATAGCTTGGTGGCCAAGGGTGTATGGGACGTATCATGTGAGAGTGATCATGTTTTATTATTCTTACAATATATAAGTTTTCTCAAAATTAGTGATTACATGTCATATGAAATGTGTGTTCTAAATAAAACATTTAGGAAAAACGTTTTAAATAAGAAACCACAGTAGGCATGACACATTGGGGTCACCCTCTATATTTGGCTCAAAACTCACAAATATGAAGGATTGGGAATTAACAAATGCAAGTATGAAGGCTTTAGTGCAACTTCGGCTGAAGGGGATTGGAGAGAATTGAGTAACGCCCGGAAAATCAACACTCTTTTCACTATTAAAGTGGGAGGGACGATGCACTGAGGAAGATAACATTAATGTCTGGATAAGAAAATTTAGAATACATAAAAAAAGTATTACATTTCGGATTGATAATCAGCAACGTATTATTATTTTTTAAATATATTTCAGATTATACAAATTTAATTTGTATTACAAATTATATAATTTGAAATATAAATTTACATTATGAGATGTATAATTCGAAATGATATTTGAATTTAGATTGTTTTTTAAATTTATATTACAAATTATATAATTTAGAATATAAATTTCAATTACAAATTTTATAATATAAAATATAAATTTATATTTTATATTACATAATTTGAAATGTACACTATTCAGAACTATAATTTCAACAAGTGTAACTAGAATTTAAAAAATGTATGGGATGCAGAAAGAAAACATGGAAGTGCAGGAAGAAATTTTATTATTTAGTGGCATGAAGTTGAAATCCTTTAAGACGAACTAGGGCTAATGCTTCCTCCATCCCCATAATTATTAATTGCACTCCTACAATAATAGGCGGCCCTTGGCCGAGTATGTTAACAAGTCCAGCAAGATTAGTGGAAAGAACACTTTGTTACCAAATTTTAGGAACCGACATTATTGAAGGATAAACCGAGTCATTTGCTTTTGAAGTCAGTTTTCTAGAGCACATGACAATCAACTGACTTAAAGTCACTTAACTTTAACCAGAACAGAAGAAAACAGCGAACTGCACAAAAACTGAGCGCTAAAAGGCAATATAATGACTATAAACATCTACAACCTTTGCAGCAGTAGAAATGCATCCAATGACTTACATGTATCCAAAGTTGCGTAAACTTAATGACTATAAACGTCTACAACCTTCGAAGTAGTAAAAATGCATCCAATGACTTACAAGTATCCAAAGTTCCATACACTTATTTATGTTTCAGAAAAAGTTTAGGAAATTCAATGCACAGCACAAATCAACCTCTCGTGCCATTTGCCAGTTTCGGAGCAATTTCACATTCTAATTTTTGTTAAT